TGGGTAAAGGAAGGATGCAGTTCACTCAAACCCTCTGCTTGCTCCAGCTTGCCTCTTGAGGTGGTTGATCACGTGGATAAATTTGACGCTGAGAAGTTGAACCTGCACCTCAACACAGGGTGTTACACTAGTGGCAAAGTTGATTCTCTACTGAATAGCGCACCGGCCTCCTGCAATCCGCCGTGTTTCCGCATCACGAAGCCTGGGGAGTACTGTTACATGGGCACGCGCAATAACAACTTCTCCAACCGACGTCACGTGGGGCAGATCACTGTCACCGGCGACGAGGCCAAAACTAAAAGAGATCAGATCGAACAAGGCGCCAGGGACTCGGAAAAAAGGAAGTTCTTCCGGTTCCCGAATTTCTCGAAGGAGGAATAAAATCTTGTTGCTTGTTTTTTTCTTATGATTAAGCACAGCACTGTAGCACTGAAGCATGCATTAGCAATGCACTATACCGAATTTCTGGAATGGAGGAAAAAAATCTTGTTGCTTGTTTTTCGATGATTTTGCACAGCATTGCATAGGACTGTAGCATGCATTTTCAATATAATCAGCAATCTCAGAAATAATGTAGGAACAACACTGTCAAAAAAGTGATGTAGTTGAATAAAGATTTTGTTTAAAAAACAAAGGTTCCCTTTTTTAAAGTTTTTATTAAGCGGCTAGCAACACTCTTTAACATTTGCTCTGACTCTTGACGTTTGCTATTATTGTCACTGGTCGCGAAAAGGAAACCACGGATGTTCAATCACTTGCTGAAAGCACTTAATTGCAGCAGAACTGGATTTTATTGTTGTCTCATTCATGGCTCCTCAATTAAGGAGCGTACATTCACGTCTTGTCAACTTCACGGTTAATTGCTGACTCTAAAGGGCTGGAGGGGGGGAACAATACAATAGAGCCACGCCCATCAAACGAGATTCCGGTGCCCCCCCCCCCCGGATCACGCCCCAGTTATTTGATTTTGAGCTCGGGCCGCCTGTAATTAGTAAGGCATTGGATTTAGTAGCTATTGCCTGAAACAGGCCTCAATCATGGCATTTAATAATTAACACTGGCATAAGCGTCCGAATAATCACACTATTTCGTTTTTACTATAAACTTTGCTCTGTCGATGCTATGTCATACGCATGCAGCTTATGAGCCAGAACGTGTGCCAGGCACAACAACGTCAATATCTGATGTTACTTCTCTGCACAAGACTTAGTAGCGTGTCACTAGAAAACGTGTGTTGTTGTCCACCGGCTGTTGAATTTGTACCCTGGGATAAAGTCCCATGGGACACTGTTGTTCCCTCGGAGGTTTGTTGAGGAGTTTCCTCCGCTGCATGCAGAGGCATCGCTTGGACGTTTAGGTTGTCTTGCACCAAATATGGGACTGCCTACTCGCACATTTGTGCTTCTATCAAAATACATTTGAAAAGAACATTGTGTTAGAATTTTTATAGGATTGATTGAAGTTCGGTCCGCTCGACACAAGCTGCATGCCTGCCGAAACTGGAAAAATAGCACATATTGCCGGCGCTCTGAAAAAATTAATATTCGCTCAAAAGTACCAGTTCTTTTTTTCAACTATAGATATATCATAGCAGTTTGTTTAGCTATGTTGCAATTATAATTCAATGTTGTTCCGACGTCAACGGTTAAAAGAAGATTTTCTACCCGTTAAATCGAGTCTTGAACCAAACACGAAAATAGCTCTACTTTGAAGGCACGTTTTAAAAATGTGGCACCTGTTTGAAACTGCTGAACTACATGAATAGAAAGTATAAATAGCCCTTAATTTAAAACAGTAATAAAATTTGTCTACCTACTAGGTTTTCAAAACTAACGACGGCTTAAAGTTCAGGAAATTTTGAAAATATTCCAGTGAGCAACTAACATACTCGCCTTGAGTTCGTAGAGTGCTCCGATAAATTCACGTAAATTTCTTGCCTGGCCTCAAGATTAAAGTTTTTGTCCTTTGTAGCGATCCTTGAAACCTAGGTAGCATTAAAACTGCCAGCTTTTCCCTCCAGCTGTAGGTTTGTACACAAAGTACATTTATACTTTCCTCATCTGTGTCGAGCGTGACGGTCACATACTTCGATGTTCTTTGTATTACTTACCATTGTCTTCCTCGAAGCCGGTTTAATCATGTAGAGTCCTCTTGAAAGATTTGTAGAAGCACTCTTTTCGACAACTCTCGGCACACATACATGTATGAACAGTAAACGGTGTTCCAGGGATCCAAGGAAGGATTGATAAATGCCACGGCCATTTTGTGTTTACAACAGGTGTTTTAGTTCCCAATCTTCCCGTTTTTCTCATGGGAGGGTGTCTTAGTTCCCAATCTTCGCGTGATACTCACGGGAAGATTGGGAACTAAAAACACCTGTTGTAAACACAAAATGGCCGTGGCATTTACCAATCCTTCCTCTGATCCATGGAAGACCGTTTACTGCTCATACATGTATATATGTGTGCCGAGAGTTGTCGAAAAGAGTGCTTCTGCAAATCTTTCAAGAGGACTCTACATGATTAAACCGGCTTTGACGAAAACAATAGTCAGTAATACAAAGAACATCGAAGTATCTGACCGTCACGCTCGACACAGATGAGGAACGTATAAATGTACTTTGTATATAAACCTACAGCTGGAAGAAAAAGCTGGCAGTTTTAATTTTACCTAGGCCTCAAGGATCGCTACAAAGGACCAAAACTTTAATCTTGAAGCCAGGCAAGAAATTTACGTGAATTTATCGAAGGCAAGTATGTTAGTCACTCACTGGGATATTTTCAAAATTTCCTGAACTTTAAGCGGTTGTTAGTTTTGAAAAGCTAGTGGGCAGACAAATTTTGTTATCGTTTTATATTAAGGGCTATTTATACTTTCTATTCATGTAGCTCAGCAGTTTCAAACAGGTGCCACATTTTAAAAATGTGCCTTCAAAGTAGAGCTATTTTCGTGTTTAATTTGGTTCAAAATTCGATTTAACCGGTAGAAAATCTTCTTTTCGATTTCGCTCAAATTTGGCTTGCAATCTTGTTTTAGGGTCCTAACTGCAAAATTGATGTTAAAAGCTCCAATTATTTTTACATTGGAAAATATCGTGAAGGTCGATTTGGAGTGACATTGGCGGCCCGCCAATATGGCGGATCGAAGGAGTTTTTTTTACCTCAATCCTGATCCTGCCATCGTAATTTCTCGACAATCCTTGTAACAGAAACAACGAACTATCCTTCTTGTCTTATTTATCAAAATAAATTCGGAAAATGATAAGTTTGAACGACCAACGGCCAAGAAGCACGAAGTTATATCTTCTTAGCTTTGAATAGTCGCAAACTTACTTCAAATTGGAAGGCTGATATCTCCAGTGTTATCTCGATTGAGAAGTAGCCATTTACCCAGAATGTGGTTTTGTTATTGGTGCTTGGATTCCATTAAAAATTTGGGGGAGTTGTAAGAGCGTAATCTAAAAAATCATATTATTAATAGTAACTTAGCCATTTCTGCGAACCAGCTTGTTAAGCCAATATTAGTCGAGGAAAATAGAAAACGATTCCTGTCGGTTAAATAATGCAATTTCCATGTTTTGTTGCTTATGTGATACAAAGAGATGTATTTGAAAACAGGTTTCAAGATTGTGTGTGCGATTTGTAGCGAAAATTTCATACCGCTCACTTTGTTGTTGCACTGTAAACAGTCTTTAATGACATTAGTAGAAATAGAAAATTGTAGAAATGTATAATAGCACAATTAATACTTTATATGCAGCAGTATGTCTATATTTGAAAATAGAATCATACTTAAAATTTTTTGATTACATTGATTTCTTCAGAAGACTGCAGACAGAAATGAAAAAGTAACTGATTAATTGTACTCAGATCTATGGTGTTATTAGTTCTATTTTTAAAAGTCGCACTATTTTCTTTGTCTAAAATATTGCTATCGCAATGTGTTCATTATTTTATGAAAGGAATAAGAAAAACTTGTTCCGAGTGCATTGGTGAGTTATATAAGCACTTGGGAATTTTTAAGAACACTCGAGAAGCACTTCTCTCGTGTTCTTAAAAATTCCCGCGTGTTTATATGACTCAACAATGCACTCGGCGCGTTTTTTATTCCTTTGATAATTTTCACACAAGAGATCTAGAGTGCCATAACTTGAAACGGACCATATCTAATTGTCATCAGCGAGTACAGCAAACATATATTCATCTTTCTTGAGTGTAAGGTGTCGATCCCGCCTCATAAACATTCACTTTGTGGCTTTCACACGTACTCTCTAAAGATCAACGATGTTTAAAAAGGCAACCACTTATTAATTTGTTTTAATAATACTTTATTTAGTTATTTCAATCACCTAAACTACTTTAACTGATTCAGCAAATAACTAATTCTCTCCAATATTACTAATATTTCGTATCACCAACAATGCCCTTCAATTACCGATGCGACTACAGAGACCTTAGTAATCATCGTACAATAACCAAGATAAGGAAAAGAACATTTTCCTTTTACTAAGCAGCTGAGAAATTGAAAATTATTAGCTAATGAATTAATACTTTGCCGCAGGAATGGCTATATAACGGCATACTATAAAACTGTTTGCTACTCTACTGATTATCTGTAATTTTAACTCTTCTGTTTCATTTAAAACGCTAAACAAGTTTACACTTANTACGTAAAGCAAGAGAAATCCCGCACACTCCTTACTATGCAATAGGAAATTGAACGAACTTTCTCTGACAAAAATTTAGTCTTTGCTGCCGTCATCAAATGATGTTCACGGAGCGATCAGTCACGAGGGCTAGGATTACACTTATCTAACCGGCCTCGCTACTGCTCAAAATACTCAACATGGCGGTTTTTCTCAAGCGCGCTTGACAGAAAAAAATTGACTATTTTAGACAGACAGTGTCTTTTGTTTTCGTAATTTAGTTGCTGCTGCTTAGTTCGTGTTACATTTTTTGCTACGTTTACCTCTATTTATCGTGTACTGTATTCCTTTCAGGCATATATTTATTTAAACAGTGTGTAACTAAGTAAAGAGACAATTCACCCTACCGAAAAAGATGGCTACTCGAACATTTACCAAGAATTTTTAGCGCACGAAAGCCCTAAAATCGCTCTTAAAAACGCTCAGACGAAGCCTGAAAAATTCAGATCTTGCATGAACAATATTGTTAGTTCAGGGAAAAATTTCGCCAAAAATGTGGCTTTTTCTGAGGGCCTATTCACTATGTTAGGTTCGCAAGGAATTTTGGTAAAATGTATAGCCGCCATCTTTTTCCGTACAGTGGATTCATCTCGTACTCGAAAACTGGGAAAGCTTAAGGCCGTGCTGCCGAGGCACTAACATCTCGTCGGCTTTCAGCAGGGTGTATCATTAGTCTACTTTTTCCCTTTCTCTTCTCCCGTTGAACTGCCGCCTTGCTCGTCAGGATCCTTTCCCTCTACAACAGCCAGCTTTTTCATTAGCGCCGTAAGAATGCCCTCTTCAGCTTCCACTCTTTCTTTTCCAGCTCCTTCTGCCTTCAGCTTGATTATTCGGTCAACCTGTAAAACGAAGATTTTTTTTTTCGGTTCAGTGCACTCTTGTTTCGGGAAACCAATTCCAAAATAATTCAGGCTGTTGGTAATCACGGCAAAACGCAAACAATAAAACCAGCCGATGAGAACTTAAAGCAAACACTAGTAATCGGAGCCAAGTTTACGAAGCCTCGCGTGACCAAGTGGTGATTAGTTTAGGTCTTAAATTATGAACAATCCACCCTGTCATGCAAACAGCTAATGATATAGAAATCATGAGCTACAAGATAAATCTTGATCGAGCGAGGCGGGGTGGGGGGGGGGGGGGG